ATATGGCCCAGAGCAGTGACTTCATCTACGTGAATTGTCCCACAAAGATCCAACCCAAGGTTGGGGTGCAGCTTAGATATTTACAAAGAAGCTTTGCAGACACATTCAAACTGTCTGAAGTACATGGGTATAGATCTTGTCTTTTGTACATTCAATGAGGGAAAGATTCTCATCTTGGTAAAAAGATGAAAAAGCTACTTTTATGAGATGATGATCTCCCTAGTGTTTCTGAAAGCAGCCATTATCCTAACCAACCAAACATACAGCCCACTCAAAGAGGTACTTGGTGAGGGGATTCATTCCACAGTAAGGAAGAAGAAATAGCAATGATGTGTTTAATGGCTCTTACTGCCCATTCCCACACTATCAAAATTGGAGCACAGTGGGCAAGAGCGAGTTTCTCAGGGAACTTCAAGGGCTCACGCTGCTTTCTCTCTCAAGTCTTCTCCCACTTAACATTTTTCAGAATGTTTCAACTCATACAACTTCTTTCTCTCACTTCAATTTAGCACGTTTTCCATTCTAGCACACTGTCCCTCCCCATCTCCCTGTAAGCTGTGTTTACTCCTACCTCTTTATTAGTTGTAACACTTGTAGGAAATTATTTCACCTTTTGAACCTCAGGTAAGTTATTTCTCTGTAGAAGGGGATAATCATACATTCCTCAAATCTGACAGTTTACCTAAAGTACAGGCAGACAGCAGAATTGAACTGAACTGTTGGGTACCCAGTAGCATTGGAGAATTGGTGTGGAAAAAAACCATGCAATTGGGGACAGTGAAAAACAACATACACACTTGGAAAATGGTGTTAAAAAAAAAAAAGCTTACATTCCTTTATGTAAGAAAGTAATAAGAAGCAAGACTGGCTGTTTGTATTTGCTCTTACTTGCACAATGAAATGTAAACAGGTAGACCAGGGCATAATAAAAATGATTATCTAAAGACAGAAGTGCAGCAATGCGCCAGTGACAGAGATGAGGGTAAGACTTCTATATATAGAATTTTTTGGTAGCTTTAACTTTTGAATCATGGAAGGGTTTACCTGTTAAATATTTTAATTAAAAATGCCTTCTTCATATAATTATTGTCAGCCTTAATTATTCGCTGTCATTTGCATTCACTAATTATATAACTGCACAAGTGAGCATTATGTGAACTGCAAGGAAAAATGATGTGCTATGATCTATGGGTCGGTTCATGGGAAAGTTACCCTTCTGGCCCCCAGGTTCCTGATCATCTATCATATGAAGACAATAATAGTGCTTAGATCAAGGAATTATACAGAATGATTAAAGAATGGCACATTTTTTGAGTGAATGAGAACCACTGGTGTGTGTGTTGGATTCCTCACACACACCTTGCACAAAGCAGATGTGTAGGGTGACAGATAGTCCATAATTTTATTGGAAACTTTGGTCCCCAAATAACTTAAAATGTCTTCTAATGACAGGCCTGAATTTTCAACCCTAAACTCAGTCTCAGGAAAAAAAGAACAATGTACAACGCACAAGCAAAGCAGAAAGAGAAAAGTAAATATGTATTTTAATTGAAAATCAATTAATAGGCATTGAGAGGCTAGACAGTGGCAGAGACTTTGGGTGATAAAGCCCCAAGTCTTACATAAATGTAAAGGAGAAGGAGATACCCTCAAATTGAAAAGTTATACCAAATTATAATTTGTAGAAAGTGGAAAAAAAAAGACCATCATTGGCTAGTCACTCTCTGCTGAAACACAGAACATCAAGAATAACAAGGAAAAATATCAAATCCATGGGAGAATAAATACAACTTACCTACAAAGGAAGAACAATTGGTCCTAGAGATTTCTAGGTGATGCTGGAAGATAATGAAACTATAACCTCAAACAAATGAAGGACAATGGTGCCAACCCAAAATTCTACCCCCAGCAAAACTATCACTTACAAAGCTCAAGATAAAGTTATTTTCAGAAGACAAAGACAGAAAATTCACTGGCAAGTCTCAGCCCACTGGCCAAACCTGGCCCACAAACTGCCTACAGTGACACCTGCTAAAATACTCTGCCATGCACATCAGCCAAGCTGCCCTAGTCAGGCAAGTAGAATGTTCTAAGATAGCAAAGGATCCACAGCACCAAAAATACTCATTAGGTACAAAACTATTTACTAGTAGTCACATAATAGCAAAAATAGCTTAATAGGAACATATTTCATATTTCCATAGAGTTATTGCTGATCTCTTCTCTATAGGACTCAGGATGTACCCATGTTTTCAGCATTCTGAATAGCCTATGTTTATTTTCCCTACTGTGTGCATCAGTACACAATGAGATGAACGCACAATTCCTCGCCCTAGAAGACAAGAGTCTTCATCGGGGTTCAGCTACCCAGAGGGCTCAGCTACGTGGCGACTCCTCCTTCCAGTGAAGTGGTTTCAGGCAGAATTGGGAGGCCTAGTCTAGGATGTGTCCAAGAAGTAGAAAAACAAAGAATCACGTCAACACAGACAAGACAGTTTTCACCCTTCGGTCCTCATCCCTTTTAGACAAGGAGCTGTTTGAACCCCGCCCACTGCAGGCATGCCTCCACAGTTCAAAGGTTATGGAGTCAGCTTAGGCTTCTGGCATCATGGCCATGGTCATAGGTTCCTGATAGCTCTCACTGCTGTCCTCCTGCCACACCCAGTCTCTCACCTGGGGCTCTGGAGCCCTGCTGGGTTCTCCTCCTCTTACCTGAGCTGCTCCTCCTTCATTGCTTGGCTGACTCTTATGTCTCTCTTTCAAGAAGTTTTCCCCTACCCCCAGACTGGATCAATATCCTCCTTTGAGTATAGCTTCATTAAATCCCATTATATATTGAACTATAAGTGTTCTACAAGTTTAGAGCAGTGTGCTGGACACCATTTGTATATCTGTGTCTTCCGTCTTCATCCACTTCCGGAGTCTATGCATCCAAAACCAGGGGAGCCAGAGGGGACATTTGATATGTAAATCAAATCAGAGGATGGGGCAGGGACCCACATTACAACTACTCCTTCATGAGAATAAAAGGAAGCTTGTGAAAAGGGGGTGGCAGGCCTGTGGATGATGCCCATCTCCCTGTGCATGATGTGGAAGGCTGAGTCAATCCGAGAAGCCAAACTTGACCCTGGTGATACCTGCCGACCAGCTAGGTAAGGAGGAATTTCCATAAGGCTTCCCAAGGAGGTCAGCTCACCTGTAGATGCAGGAAGGAAAAAGAGAGAAGAGGAGGCAGGAAAAGGGGAAGAGGAAGCAGAAGGGGAAGTGGCGAGTTCAAGTGCACTGGACACCTTCTTGCCCCGCAGGACTCTTTTTCTCCACCACGAATTCCTAATAGCTCTGCCACTCCCATTGCTCACCCCAGCTCTTGTCATTTGCTCAGTACACCATTCTGGAATGCTGAGAGGATTAACGAGACACACCTAGCACAAGTGGCTTGTGTTCATTCATTCTGGCCCCTGACAGCTACTAATTCTTACAATCTTCCTGCACTAAATACCACACCACTCAGACCCCCACCATCCTGAGCATTACTGCCAGCGAAGAGAAAGGCAATTGTACCGTCATAACAGCAGGGCCCAGGTGGATTTATAATGCTCTGAATAACAGGCAGCCTGACTTGCTTAAGCTTTAAAATACTTAAGAATTTGCATGTAAGAATTGGGGGATTTGAAGAACTTATGTCTTCCATGGCAAAGAAATTAACTATCCTGACAACTTTCGTAAATCAAAAGTAACTCCATTGCTTTGAAGTACATTTCCAATGCGAAGGTGTATGATTCTACAGGAAACTTCTAGTTTACAAGAAAAAAGGTGGGAAGCTGGTGAACAGGTTGGAACAAAGTTTAAAGCCATGAAGACTTCAGTTGGTCTCTTGAGAAAGCTTGGAGTAGCCAGGACAGATTCACAACCTTCAGCAAATGAGGAAACAGAGGCCGAGTTTCAGTTTAATCTCCTAGGAACTGGAAGTGAAGCCAGCTGTCCAGACTCAACAGCCCTTTGGGCTGGGCAGGGGAATGGGCCACACACTCCGAAGAACCCCATTCTGTCAATACTCCACGGGCCCCCATCTTGAAGTTTTTAATCCCTTTGAGCTGGGGCCCTGCAACTTCCACAGCTGGTCCTGCTCACAGTTCCGTGGACCACCAGGAAAGCCCGCCACACCCGAGACTTGGCTGATCCCTCTTGGCTCCTGGAACTCCTGGGCTATACTCTGCTCTTGGTGCCGGTGTGGCTCAGCAGGCCCCCTGTGGGTGCCTCCCATGAGCACCAGCACCCCCTGATGTGTGCTCCTCCACATCCTGCTGAATATATTAGTACCCACCTCTCAATTCATCAAAGTCAAAACTCTCTAAAGTGAGTTTAATTAAAACAAGAGGCTCTTGGGTCTTCCCAGACTAGACATGATCAAACCTACTCAGAATATTGGAGTTGTTTTTGCTCTTTGGCTGCATCTTTGTCTTTGTCCAGTTCCCTCCCTCGGCTGGTCTCCGAGTCTGGATTCAGGAAGGGACAGAGAGACCAGGAGGAAGAGAGTGGAGAAAGCGAGAGAAAATGAAACAAACCCTACTCTTCCTCATATCCCAACCCCCATGAAGTTCTGAAACCATAAGACTTAAACCTGAGGCCTCACGGTCACTCCTGGCTCCCAGCTCGCAGGTATCCTGAGCAGTGCCCCTTCCCTGACATCCTGAGACCCACTGTCATGCCTGCAGGCCGGAGGAGAAGGCTCTGCATCCTGAGGGCGTGGCGGTGCCAGGGGAGGACACCCATCCTCTCCCCAGATCTCTCTTTCTGGCTGCCTCAAATGTTTTCTCTTCTTCAGAGGGTCCCCAAACCCCACTCCTTCCTCAATCACCAAGCAGTCCCTCATCCCATCCCATAATTGACTGTAGATGGAGTCTATTCCTGAACTACAACTCCCTCCTGCCTCCTTCAGAGGTCCATGACAAGTTGAAGTGTAGCCATGCATGTAACAACAGAAAGGAAAAACCCACAAATCAGAGCAGACTCTTGGATTTTTTATTATGCATTTGACAGTTAGTATTTTCTGAGTGTTCACAGGACGAATGAGTTTCTCTCCGAGATACCATCTTGCCACTGTGCCAAACAGTGCATATACGTTTTTAAAATGTAATTCAAGCTCTAAAAGATACGAGTTTGGATTCAGAATGCAATTTTAAAATCTCTCTATATCTATACAGTGACTTTACTTCTAACAGATCCCATAAAGGAGTTGAAGTAGAGAACAGTTCCCCAATAAATAATCACTTCTCTAAACTGTACAAAATCCTGCTAGCAAATCAGTCTGCTTTCACTTCCTCATGATAGGTATGCACTTTTATACCTATAATAACTTATGACACACTCCTCCAGAGTTTAACATCTGGTCAAGGCCAACGTTACATCTTGCACCACGTAAAATTTCTCCTCACAGGCCCTTGGCATGTGCCCAGAAACAGGTCCTCCGGGCTCTGTGACCAGGTGGGGAGGCGGGCAGCCTCTCCCTGAAGCGCCCAGTAGAGAGAGGATGGAGGCCCTGTCCATGTCCCTCAGTCACTATGCGTGCAGCGTGGCCAGGAGAACGCAGCTGAAGGAGATTTTGAACCATCAGGCGTAACAATTCCCAGCTGTTGCCAATTATATAGATAAATAGGAATTTACATAATTTATAGAGAGTTTGTGTTCATGGTTTATTTGGAAGCCACTCCCCAAAGATCCACATCTATTCATGAAAGCAAAATATTCAACCTAACGGCCCTGAGCCCGGGGGCTGTCTTTATAATTGGCTTCCTGCAAACAAGGCCTTCGAACTTCACTGTGCACGGGCCTGGTGTCTGTAAGAGACGCACAGGGCCAGTCCAGGGGACAAGAACCAACTCTGTGTGACAGAGCCCAGCCTTCGAAACCAGCAGACACCCTCTCCTCTTCTTATCACCAGCATGTGGCCTCCTGCTCCTTTTTCTTCTACTGCCCCCTTTCTTTGACATACACTGTTTTGATGGGTATGAAGCACAAGTGAAATTTCTACCTAAATACACGCTTCAAACTTGAGAACTACTGTTTGGTTATGGCCTGGGTCCGAAGCCCACAGCTCACCCCTCACCAGCTCCCAGCCTGCAGACGGGGCAGGCAGCCCGCTCCGGCCACACACGCACTGTGCATCTAGTGCAAGTCGGACGCGTGTTTACTTTTGCAGACAGCCAGCTCGGTGTCCACTTACTCTCCAAGAGAAGTCTTGTCAAAAGCCAGTAAGTGGTTTTCCGGCTTGCCCTGCCTCTCCAAAAACAATTTCCTGCGTGAAACTGGAGCTTCGGGCATCTGGCCCCAGGGCACATCTGGGATCATTTTACCCATTAGGGAAACTGGGGTCATTTAGATTTGGGCATTCTCAGAGTAGGGGTGAACTGTTAAGTGGGGACTCTCTGGGTGGGTTTTCTGCCCCAGGCGAATTCACTCCTTGTCCCTAAAGAAGTGGAAATTTGAACTTCGTGTGAGCAGCAGCTCCTTGCTGGAAGAGACGGCAGACAGGCAGAGAGGACGGCGAAGTCACAGCAGGGAGCAAGCATCGGGGCGGCCACCTAAGGCCGGCGGGCCTCCTCTGTCCTGGACATCAGCCTATCTTGAGCCAAGGGAACAAAGGAAAACAGGTGTGTTAGAACAGGATAATGCCTCTCCCCAGCTCAAAGGGGCCACTTCCGCCCCCACGGCTGGAGCTGCACCCGCTTCTGAGGGTGGCCCCTCACCACAGCCTGATCTGAAGGGAAGGATGAGGAAAGAATGCTCTCAGCAGCTGTGCGCTCAGGGAGCCCCCAGCAGCCACCACCCCCCACAATCCCGAGCCAGGGATGGCAGCAGCTGCCACGCCAAGAATGCGAATGTGGACATTACTGACTCGAATCTTGTACGAAAGCAGGGACTGCAGCTCGTGAAAGTCTTTCTTCCCAAGGAAAACTCTTTATTTTGATGAGAATCGTAGAACCCTAGAAGAGCTACCTTCCCAGCCCCAGTGGGACACTGTGTGACCAGTCTCGATCTCAGCCTTTGAACATGTGACAGCACAATACTAAAATGGCAGCAGTGGAGGCGTCTGTGTTTTTTCCGTGCAGGGGACCCCTTGCTGGCTAACCCTTGAACACACCCCTGGGCCTTTGCACTTCCCATTCCCCCTGACCAAAATACCACTTTTTCACTGGTCTTCAGGGCTCAGCCTTCACTTCCTCCAGGCTTCTGTGCCAAGGGCACCTGGCCCAACAGACAGCTCCCGGAGTTCCCCGAGTCCCAAGTCATAACCGCCCCAACGCCTCTCCCTGCCTTGCTCGCCACATCTCACTGTAAATCACACACACTCCTGTGTGTCTGCTTCCTCCACCACTTCAGCTCCTTGAAGAAGCCCCTTTGCCTGTTCCCTGCTGTGTCCCAGGGTGGAGAATGGTGCCCGGCACATAGCAGGTGCTCAGCAACTCCGAAGAATGAATAAATGATGCATCAGATGGATGGTTTTAATCACATCCTGCCCTCACCGAGCGAAGTTTTGGTTTGGGGTGAGGAAGAGAGAAAGGGGAAGGAGGACGAAGAGGCCAAGTGGGGACCGGCTGCCGTCCGACTCTCCCTCCTGGGACCTCCCTGCTGCCCCTGCCCTCCTCCTCTCTCCCCATTTTCATTATGGATGGTGACAGATCCCTCTGCAGACCACTGGAAGCGATCTGCCACCAATTCGGAAAGTCTCCTGTATCCCGAGCACGGTTTAATCTTCCCCTGATCAGTCCCTGTAGAAACCACAGCCACCTCTAGGCTGTTATTATGAACATAAATTACCATCCCATTGCAGATGTGCGGGTGAGTCATTAATAATGACTTCTGATGGATAGAATGACAAATAAGCCCAGTTTGGCTGCAGGAAATGCTGGGGATCTCGCATACAAAAGAGATAAGCAGGTTCAAAATGTGATAAAGTGAGGGTGGGGGCGTGTGACCTGGTGCCAAGCTGTGATGCTTCGCCTCTGTCCGGAATCAGCTGCTGAGAAGAAGCAATAATGGGGGCGGGGTAGAGTCCCGCTGCTGCAGAAGCAGAAGCTAAAGTGGGCTTGGGCAGCTCGGCCTGCAGGGCCTAGAAGGAACGCTGGGCACAGCAGGCTGGCGCAGTTCAGGCCGCTCTGCCTATGGCCCCACAGGAGCCATCGTGTGTGGGTGCAGCTGCATGGGCGGTGGGACCCCACTGGCCGTGAAGACCAGCGCCGCCCCTGCCCGGCCCCATGGGGGGACCGCGTCCCCATCTTCACCTCTGCCGCAGCTTGACGCGGGGCCTGCTGGCCGTCCCTTTCTCTTCTTTGTCTGCTTTTTCTGCTGTCCTGGAATGACTGTGGGGAGAGAGCCAGTTTTAATGAATCAACCTGCATCTCCGTGTGGCTGGGTTTCAGTGCCACATTATGACTTCCTCTTCCCCACCAGCCAGCGCATTAGCGCTCTCCCAGAGGACCACGTCTCAGGCACAGTTTGGGAAGACTGAGCGCCGGGTGGGTGGCTGCTTGCCGAAGCAGAGCCCACACTCGCTCCTGTGACTCATCAGATGTGCAAAATGCCAGCAGGGGGAATGAAAATGCCATTAACACTGGGCTTTTCAGATGGCAGGTCCTGAGATCCAACTTCCTGGGCACCTGCCCCCGTCTGAGCTCTCCTGGCTCGGGCTGTGTTTGAAAGTCACATCCCCAACACCAGCTATAGGAAGGGCCACATCGGCAGTTGCTAAGTCTTGGCCCAAAGTGAAGAAAATGAGGAGCAAAAGCTTTGAGCTGACGTCAGCTGCCTTGGTACTTGGGCAAGCTCGGCCTGCTCACTCACCCTTGAGGATGAACCTATGAGCTTCTCTACCAGACGGAGCAGACTACTGGAAAACTCAGGTGAATGGGCTTTTGTGCCCCTCTTGGGGAGCAGGACAGCCAGAGCTGAGAGCCCCAAATGCTGTCTTGTGAAGAAGCTAAACATAATGTATGCAAGGTGCCTAATTCTTCAATCTTTAGCTGTTGGCAATTTATTCAGATTTATGCAAAGTACTACTCATGTCAGGGGAAATGTGTCTAGGGACCAGACACAGATCTGAAAGGCAGTGAGAGTCAGAGGTGAGACAGCACCCGCCCTGCTGAGGAGCCTCAGCCTCTGGGACCAACACCCGCCCTCTGCTCATCCTCAGGACCAGGGCAACCAGGACACGGCCACACCGCCCTTGCACAATGCGCTGGCCTGCGGGTGATTCATACCTGGAAAGGAGCAGGACGAGAAGGGGTGTCCTACCTGCTGACATCCAGCGTCCGCGTGCAGAACTGTACACAGGCCTTGTCATTGGTCCCCAAACATGCACAGCGCAAGTGTGTCTGCGGCGAGGGCTGCACACTCCCCGGAGACCGCCCTGAGGACCTCTTATTCCGGAAACTTCCTCTGTAGTTGGACAGTCCATAGGGCACAGTCTGCCTGCAAAGCACAATGTGAAGTCAGGCGAGTGCGTGTGGGCCTCTAGCTCCAGGTTCCTTCCAAAGTACAGCAGAACAGGCCCCTGCCGGATGAGAAACTTCTGAATTTGGGAGGCTCTGGAGCAGTGATGGCAAACCTTTTAGAGCTTTCAATGACAACCAACAGCAGGCTGTGGCACAAGTGCCATAGTTTCGCCATCACTGCTCTAGAGGAAAGTGCAGGCGCCCTGCCCCCAGCAAACACCCTGAAAGCAGAGTGGGGCTGCAGGGACAGGAAGATGCAGAACTAGAGAGATTACCGCCCCTCTCGGACGGTCACATACATATAGACACAGAAGGGCCCTCAGCTTCCCCAAGGTAACACACATGGGTGTGCCCTTGAGCCCTGTGCTCCAGGCCTGGCTTGCCACACGGCAGATTTCAGTGTTTTCCAGCCAAACGATGCAGGCCTGGGTCCCTCTAGAGCAAGCACTTTCTCCACCCACTAGAGCTGGGCCTGAGCCTCCAGTATTTTTGCCCCACCCCTTCGGGAAAGTCAAGAAACAAGGATAACTGGACACCTTGATTGAGAGTGTTCTTCCTGTGCCCAAAGGACAAGGACATCTGGGATGACCCATGTGCTGGTCCAGGTCTGCAGCTTTGCCCCAGCACCTGGGCCAGAGCACTGTACCTGTAAGACCCTCGGCATCTACAGCCAGGGAGGTGTCCCTCACAGCCCTCTACTACTAGTTTCTTCTCTGTGCAGCTCAGACAATGCACTTCACACTAACGAGAACAGGCCAGATGCACTTATGGTGGTTAGAGATGCGTCTTGACCTCCGAACACCACTTCCTGGAAGGGACAAACATCAGAAGGGATGCTCCGTGCCGTCTGAGAGGTGTTGGTATTGCAGTGGCAGGACAGCCAAGGATGGAACTGGCCTTGGGGAAGTCTTACTATGAAGCCAAAAAAAAAAAAAGTCTAAAAGGGTTGGCCACTTCTTTTTGTTTATGGTGGCACAAGGAAGAAGGGGTGTGGTGGTATTCAGAGCAATAAACATTTAAATCTGGTCCTTATGTTTGCATAGATCCCATCCATCGCTCTCCAGAGAAGAAAGATGACGGCCAGTTGAGTGGGGGAAAGTTAAAACCATATGCTTAATTCATTACTACTATTGAATTTGACTTAGGGACAGATGAATAATACCTCGAAGAAACTTACATGGCTGAAGCCAATTTTCCAATAAATCTTGGTCTTCTTGCTCATCCCCAGAGATTAAGCCACCTTGGTTTCTATGAGCCCCATGGAGTATCACCAATTATCCACCTCAAAGGGTGGCCTGACATCCTCCCTGTGTTTTCAAAATAAAATCAAATTGAATTTCTTTTCATTAGGAACACACGCCATGGAGCCTTTTGGAGACAGTGAGGGCAAATTGGGCAGGGGTGCCCTGCAGTGATCCGATGCTCGGAAAGACCCTACGCCCTGCTGGGCTGGGGATGGAGCTGAGGAATCTGCTCGGCCCTATTCTTCTCCTTCCTACTGAGTGCCTGGAGACACGGCAGAGCGGTGGCTCCCCGCTGGCCAAGCATGCCCAGCTGTTGAGCAAATGGAGAAGGAAGGCAGGGTCCAGTCCTGTTATGAGCTGAACCTCTTCTCATACCCCTATTTTTCTCGAAAATGGGAAGTGGGGGAGGGGAGAGAAACAATGCAGCCATTGTTGTGAGCTGGGATTTGGCTAAAGGTATATTTTTTCAGTATGAGGACTACATTAAATCTCTAAGTGTAGACATTAAATCCAGTCCCCTATTTCTCGATGAAAATTATACACAAGGAATAACAAGGCTCCCATTTTTCCATCAACAGTGAGACCTGCAATTTTAAAATTGCTGTCAGCTGATTATGCATTTATGGATTTAGAGCCACTCAACTGGAGCGAAACACTCTAAAGTGTTTTAAGTAAGGAAACAAGGCAACAGGGTATTTGTTAATAGAGACGTGCTTAGCACTTTCCCAGCAGCCAGGCTAGTCTGCAAACGCCCTACCAATTTCAAAGCTTGTTTACAGAGCCACACACTCCCCTTCTTGAGGACTGGGAGACTTAGTACAGCTGCCTTCACCAACATCTGTAGAATCTGGAATGAGAGCTCAAAATGGAGGCCCATCTCCTACAACAAGTCTACAAATTTAAAGACTTTAGGTCTGATAAGCTCTTAAACGAGAGTCCTACCCTTCTACCTGGACAAATGCAGCTTCAAAACACTTAGAAGCCAAGCCTTGAATTTAGGATTCAGTTTCTCCCCGGAGGTCACATGTTGGAATACAGCAGCCCAAAACACTTTGCCACCTTTTCTTCCTGCTGCTCCTTCCCACACCAAAAAGGTTTTCATTCACTCCAAGTAGCTAACCCAGACTGCACTCCAAGCTCCATCTACCCCCCAGCCTGCAACAAGCTGCCTGTGGCTACCCTTTGGCCTGGGGATGTATGCCTGATGTTTGTTCTTGAGAGTCACATCCTAGAAGACATGTACAGGGACCCTAGGAGAGGGTTTGGGAACTTCTGAGTAGGGGACTCCAGCAACTCAAGTAGATGGAACATGGTCTAAAAGAAATCACACGGTCTAGAAGAAAGAAAAGATCGCTTTCAGACCCAGAATCCTTGCAATGGGGTGGGGGCAAGTGACTAAGGTAGAGTTGTGGATGGCCTTCTAAGTCACAGAGCTTGGCCAAGGGTGTTTCTTACCCAGGTTGAGAGTCAATGAGTGGCTCCTCAAGAGCAGAAGGTAGGTCATTAACTTCTGTACCTGCCACGGGCTTAGTCCAAGGCTGAGTAGATAAAAACTATTGATTGAATAACGGGTAGCTAATTGTGAGATACTTCTAGTCTGGCAAGACTGGATTCTTTTCACCCTCATGAGTTCAATAACCATAAACACCATTACAAACAACCTCCAGCATCTGTTAAAACCCCACCATCTATCTAGTGTTATTTTAAGTTTGATATGGATAGAGACAGCACATGCATCTGTGCCTCTGGGGATTCACATGTTGCCACAGTACGAAAACGGGGAAAAGAATCAGTGTGTACAGTACACATGGGGTACACAGAGTGCAGAGGGTGCCCAATCATTCTATTATGATGATCACTCTGCCCTCTCAATACTTTCCTGGTTGATGAAAGGGTTGCTGAACAAATGAAAATACTTAGCAGAGAGTTAGCAATAAATGAATTAGCTTCTGATATTATTGATTTGGACTAAGAAGTCTTGCATAGCATCAGATAGAAAAATCTCATTTACAAAGCTAGTGTTTGAGATATGTGACTAAGCAATAAACAAGGGTAATAAGGAACCAGAAAAGCACATGGCCCAGCAATGCCATGCTCTGCCACCCCATCATTCACCATCACTGTCCCATCAGCATCTGTATTTCAGTTGTGTCATGCCCTTTGTCACTGTTTCCTGGAAGGGGAACAGGAAAGACCTAAGGGTGAAACCATGAAAATGAAATTTTGACTGAGACTTTGGATCTGACTTTGATACTGTTCAGCAACAGGGTTTAGGAAATGCAAGCCTTTGTAGGAATGGGAAGCTCTTCCATCTATTCGCACATCAGTTATAACTCAGAGCTCTGTACAGAAGAGAAGCAGATGCAGAGATAAAAAAGCAGAACGCCCTTCAGAATACACACACACACACACACACACACACGCAATGTCCACCACTGAGTGTGCTTCTGTAATAAACTGTCCCTCAGCTTATGCACACACAGCACCCTTTATTTGATGTAGGAGCATTATTTATCTCAAGGCTCCTTCTGTGTCATGTTTCCCCCATATCACATACAAGTGTCATTAACTATTAAAAACTCCCAACTCTCCTGTGTTCCTTATTCATCTGTATCACCACTCTGAAAACATCTTGTCTCTACCAGACGTTTTTAAACAAGCCAAGTGTCTTTATTTCTTTAAAATTCTGTTTTTAAGTTCTATGTGGCCTGTTCCTAACGGAATTAACCATCTCCACTCTCCTGATCAGGAAACTGGCTTCCGTACCGAAAGCTTGAAGGACAGACCCAGACGGTCACAAAGGCCAGTCTCGCAAACAGCAAAGGGACTTCACAAGCCAAATTCAGAATTCTCAGGGACGTCTTCAAGTGGTCATCCTCTCACCAGAACTCCAGTTCTCACTTGTCCCACTGAGTGGTATTTAATAAATCTTTGCTGAGAGCCTCCATGCGCAGGCACAGATGTAAGGTCTAGGTGAGCCTCACAAGCCAGACAGAACAGGGTCCCTGTACACACAAAGTTTTGGTCTCAGATATCAGTACACCGGCATTTGGTCAGCTTCATCCAATCAGCAGAGTATGCTGTTATATCTGGAATTTTCACTTAGAAGTCCCAATTTCAAGCTTCTCTTGAATAACAGGAAGTTGTGCTGATACCCGTCTCTAATTCCAACATGCTGGTGCCTACCCTGAGTGAGCTATGCATAAGTGCTCTGTCTTGCCCCCAGCTCACTGCTCCTAATAATTTTACAACTGTCTTTCTAGGCTATTTTTGCTGTGTCTGACCCTCACAGGCATCTCAGTTTACAACTCCCAGGCTTGTGTTTTGTCTTATAAAATAAAGCCAGACAGGTGACAAGACACATTGACAAAATCAGTGCCCGATGCTATTAAATATAGTTGGGTTTTTTTTCTTAATTTAACAGGCCCGAGTCCTAGCTGAATGTCTCCCCAACAAGTCAGATATGTTTACCGCACATTCAGACTACTTGTCAAACTGATGGTCTGTCTACTTTGGGCCACATTTTCCTTCTAAAGTGAGAAGCAAAGGCAACGTGGGCCTCTGTTGACTGCCAGAGAGGAGGAGAAACTACCGCCTGCTGCCAGCAGTCAGGAGGCAGCCCAGCTGCTGGGCTTTGGTGGTCATGGGATACCACCCCTCCATTCCCTGGAGAAGCAAAGCTGAGGCCCTGACGTGCTTCCTAACTGGGGCTCCCTTTCAGATTTTATTAAAT